CCCACACAGTCATAACCTACCTTGCATGGGCAGAGACTTGGCCTGTTCTGTTCACCTTTGTGAACCTAGACCCCAAAACCTAAACGAAAATCTGGTCTACAAGATGGGCTCCGTGATTCTTTGTTGAAGGAATGAATCAATGAAGAGATGCTTCTTGCTCTCTGGTACGATTGTAGAAAGATACATGGGGCCACCCCACAAAACAGAAAAAAGAAAAACATAGAAAGCATAACAAAAGGCTTTATAGATCCCTAATCTGACACATTTTACTGAAAGAGATGCCCAGAACATTGAGTGGTCTCTCTGGGTCCCGGGCTGCGTGTCAGGGGCAGAGCTGGGGCTACAATGCCATCCCTTGCTTTCCCTGAATTTAACCAACACTCGGTGAATTGTCAGGAGCTAAATTATGTCCCAGGCTCTGGAAACACAGACGGAGTAAGGGCCGCTTCACAATAGGAAACAGGAGACTGGGACAGCTCCCAATTCTGAGGGACACCCCTGGAGTGGCATGTGACCGTTTCTCAACACCCGGCCCAGCAGGGCGGAGGCAGAGGACAAAGAGGCACTTTTCCCAGTCACCTCATTTACGCAGCCAGCACTGGGCTTTTCAGGGCCCCGGGAAAGACAAGGGCTCCGTGGGGTTCCCCCTTCGAGCCTTTTGCTGGAGGGTAAGCCCAGCTGACCAATTTGTTTTGTCTTTCTCACGGCATTTGTTTCGTTGCTTTGGTGTTGTACATCAAACTCTTGGCTAAGTGTGCCTTGCACATCAAGTAGGTGCTCCATGTCCCCCATCCCCTTCCCTGTCCCCTTCCCTGTGTCCCCTCCCCCCTTTCACAAGCGTTCGCTGGTCTCACAATGCCACATCCCCGCTCTAGTCAATACATTGATCCTAGTGTCTCATAGGCCCAGAGAGCGGACTAGTGGTTGCCAGGCAGGGTGGGGAGGCGAACAAGGCGATGGGATTAAGAAGTACAAACTGGCGGTTACAAAACAGTCACGGGGATGTAAAGTACAGCACAGGGAATACAGTCAATGATATTGTAGTAACTATGAATGGTGCCAGGTGGGCACTGGAAATATCTGGGGGAACACTTTATAAAGTATATGATTGTCTAGCCACTGTGCTGCATCCCTGAAACTGATAGGAAATACTATTAAATGGCGACTGGCATTGAAAAATGAAATTCCAAAAAATCGATCCCAGTGCCTCGGGGTTGGAATTGTTTTCTGTGCTACACGACTAACGATACTGGAATTTAGAAATCACACGCGCACACACATGCACCCAGGTGTTCCTCACTTTGTTGCACTTGGAGACATGGGTTTTTTAACAAATGGAAGGTTGGTGGCAACCCCGCATCGAGCCAGTCTATCGGCGCTATTTTCCCGGCAGCGTGTGGCCCTGGGTGTCCGTGTGTCAGGTACCTGTCCAGGTGTGTGATCTCACCATGGTGAGATCACCTAGCGATGCGTTTCTCGGAACATAACCCTGCCGTTGAATGAGCCGTGACTGTGTGTCAGAATACCTCTCCTGCGGAAAACCCTCCAGGGATAATCCCTCGCTGTAGCCTACAACAGGCGAACCGCATTTGGGGAGGGGGTTGCCAGACCTCCCTGGAGCTCCTCGAGGCCGCCCCCACCAGCTCCTACCTGTGTTTCACCATTTTTAGCGATCGGAACCCCACTGACGGTTTCTTGCAACACCAGGACCGGAACGAGGGGGAGACGGACGTGCGGAAACGTGACCTTTGGGATTGCGCCACCTGAACCTCCGCTGCTCGGTTTCTAGCTCTGCTCACTTTTCCGTCCTGTTTCATCTAACTTCACTTCGGAGGAAGAAGTGAGCGTCCCGCCCAGGTCTGGGGACGAGCCGGACTCTGGGACTCCACGTTGCCTTTCGAGCAGAATCGATTGCGTAACGTCCTAGCGCGTGCGCGCTCCCGGAGGCGTCCTGAGCCGCGGGACTTCCTCTAGGCCCCGAGGGGAGACCTGGGCCTGCGGAGAGGGCTGTCCCCCCCCAGGGGCTGGCCAGAGCTTTATGACGCCACCTGAGTGTTCCGTCTGCGTTGGCATCGCGGGAGAGAAAAATCCACTTTGGCGGAAAAGCCTGAGAGATTATTTTGGGCCTTTTTCTTTACCCCTAATGTTTTGCCTTGCTGTTTAATTATGTCTGTTCTCTTAGGCTGAATGGTTTGACTCATTTTGGTCCCAGAGCACAGAGTCTTCCTCAGTACGGCGTGTTCCTTTCACGAGGTGTCTGCCCAGTTACAGGAGTGCACTCACTTTTCCGCCAAGCAGCCATGACTTGCTGAATTAAAGAAACCAGCTATGAAGGATTTCAGGGAAATAAAGACACAATCAGGAAAAAAAAAAACTAAAGCAATTCTTTCACTTAAAAAAGCTACAGTTATTCATTTCTATTGATAGGATGGTCTAATATTTCTACGAATGGTTTCTCCAACCTCATGGGATCTGAGCCATATGGCATATAACTATCACCCGATGTTTCAGGCAAGGTAGAAAAAGTCACATTTTCTCTATTGCCTCCGGCCTGGAATGTTAGTAAAACCGGAGTCTTATCTCCCTGTGTTCAGCACAGAACGTGTGGTTGCAGAAGCGAGAAGGGCAGAGACTGGGAACAACTGATTTCATAGATTCGCACCAAGATGGGATCTAGATTTTGCTGGAAGCGCAAGGTAACAGTCTAGTTGAAACTCAAGCCTGTGTTAGCTTAACTCCCAGGGGAGCAATTTGCAGTCAAACTCTCGAGGCTTACGGGGTTTTGGCTTTTTGCTTTTATGGGCCCTTTCAAAGGCTCTGAATCTAACTTTGCGCTTGTAATTTTGATTCTTAAAAAAAAAAATCAAAACAAAACCCCACAAACTCTCACTTGTCTAAGTGAGCCACCTATGTCATTTTAAATTGTCTGGTAATTATCATAAAAGTAAAAAGACACACGAGAAATTAATTTTAGTAATATACTTTATTTAATACCATATGTCAAAAATAGTCTTATTTAGATATGTCATCAGTATAAAAATTAATCAGACATTTTCTGTGTTTTCGTAGTGTTCAAAATCTGATGTACAGCTTACACGTTTGGAGTATCTCAGTTGAGATTAGCCGTATTTTCCTATTTCGGTTACTTGCAAACCACCTTTGGCTGGCAGCTAGTGTTTGGACAAGAAGTTCTAGACTCTCCTCTTACAAACGGAGTGACCTTGGACATGTAATTTAACCTTTCTGCGTCTGCTCACTTCCTGCAATAGGGAGTTATATATTTTTAAAACCCTACATCACGGGGGCAAAGACGAGGTTAACTAGGCTAACAGAGAACTATACCTAGTAGGTGCTCAGCGAACCTCCGTTACCATCATCACCCTCGGGACATAGGTCTTTCAGCGAGCCCCTCGGTCTCTTCTACTTGGGATTTTAGGTGGTGGACTTCAGCGAGGAGTGACATGAACATTTGCCCACTGTTTCAAACAAACCATCTCTGGTCAGTCAGTCATGTAACCAAAAGGTTACCAGATAGGGTCACAGAATATTCTCAGGATAACTGATGGCTCGACCCATTTAGGAGGCTCGAGTCTGGGGGGTTATACCTTCAGTGTCAAGATGCAGGAGTCTGGGCCCGCCCGGGTTGAAGCCTGACTATTAAAGGCTCATGGCGACAGGGCTACCAAAAAGCCAAAAACAGAATAGGATGGGAAATAGTGTTAAGACTACCATTTAGATGGTCAACGGCAGGCCAAACCCTAAGCCAAGTATTTTATAAAAAATATAAATGCCCATGTACTCACCAACAAAACAACTGAGCACGCAAACCCGTGGAAAGCCGGGAGTCCCATCCTCAGTTTTAAGATAAAGAGACAGAGGGTCAGAGTGGCTCACAAGGGCACGTGGGCCAGGGTGATCGGCTGACTGACGCTGGCCCCCTGCAGAGAAGCACACACTCATTGTCTTAGAGTGAAAGGCTGCCTCTCTGCATTGAGTGTCGACATGGAAACACAGGTGGTGGGAAAGGGAACCATTTCCTCTTCCGCCTAAACACTGGGCCCTGATGGTTTGCTTCTCTGTGGCGTTCCCACAATGGGCACACAAGACTTCTTTCCTTAGATAAATAAAGCAAGACAACCGGATGGAGCCACAACTACTTTTTTATTAGTGCTATTTATTAAGAGTTTGGCAAGGCACTTGCAAAGTCTGGTCTTGCAGGAAACAGCCAAGGAAACGTGTGGAAATAGTTTTTTTTTGGTGCAGTGGTATGGGTGAACTGCAGACAGGAGTAGCAGCTCCCAAAGACCAACCCCAAGGAGCACGTGGCTCTTGTTTTATCTGGCCGGCGCAGCAACGGCCCAAGTTATGGGGCCACAGGGATGTCGTCTAGACCGAGTCTTCTGGCTCTGGCGTTGGCAGGACATAGAACCAGAACGCCAGAGCGTGGGCCAAACATCCCTCTGCATTTTTTCTGGTCGACAGTCAAGCTGGATGGAGACGATATTTCAAACAATTACCCAAGAGCAATAAACAAGAGCATAAAAAGACGGCACAGGACTTTCTTCAGTTCTTGATAGATAAGTCCTGGCTCCCGAGCTATAAAGCGTGACATTTCTGAAGTGTGGATCCTGGAGGTGGGGGGAAAAAAAAAACCACCACAAGAAAAAAATGCACCATCCTAAAGATGGTCTGGCTTTTCCAGCTGGAGGTCATTGTCATTGCCTCAGAGGTGTTCTCTGGGCTCAACCACGGGGCCACAGCAGAAAAACACACCGACGTGAGATTGAAATAATTTATTTACCACTAGAGCACCACAAAAACAGACATACATCGTGTTAAAATACAGCGTAATCAGTCATCAAAATACAAAACAGCTATTCTTATATTCCATTTTTTTAAACCATGCCAACCATAAAATTGTACTGCTGCTTAACACATAAAAACTGCCCCGCCCCCACCCCGCATACTAACCTTCGCCCCCCCCGCCCCTCCCACGGCAATATTTACTTACGGGAAATAAAGACCTTATAGAATCCCCAAACTAAAAAAAAAAAAAAATAATAAGATTCAAGAGATCTTAAAATAGAGCATTTAAAATATTATCAGTGCATTCATGAGGAAAGACAAAATAATACGAAACAAAATGTCATTGCTATCTGAGAAAATACCTGCAGAAATAAAAGTGATTTACATAGAATTCATAGAAACGTGGAAGAGAAAATAAATCAACACTCTCAAATGTGGGATCGGGGGACATCTATCGCAAAGGGTGTTCGCTACTGTGTGCGGTTTTCCATCTCTCGCCTTTCCAGCTTCCAAACTTGTAAACCCAAGTCATCTCTTTCATTAATGGTCAGGAAGTGCCAAAAAAAAAAAAAGTTTACTACATCAAACAACTTCCCTTGGATTTACCCTCATTGTGCTGCTTTTTAAATGAAACTGCAGACTCCATGGTTTGACCTATGGGTTTTTATCTTGATGCTAAATTAGGGACAACGGGCAAACTGACACCTTCCACAAACTGTGACCTAAGGTTACCGCCTCGGCAATCATGTAGCAAATCATTTAATAAAGCAAAGTAAGTGCTAGCCTCAGATCTAGAGAACATGCTCATTCACAGGGGAGAAAAGAATACGTTTTGATGATGGGAGAATTTGGTTTGTGCCTTTTCAACCTTCCTAGGAAACCTACAAAAACCCTAATTTCAGTGAAATAAACAAAATGATTTGTGCTGACCTGTATTTTGTCCTTTAAAAAAAATCAATGAAAAGGCAAGTCTCTCTATTGAACCCTGAACACTAGAAGCCTAACGGAAGTAAAAGAAGTTTCCTACGAACTGTCTGCTTTTCTGAGAACGGGAGGGTGCTGTACACGTGCTGACTGAGCCAGGTGGGAGGGGCCAGGTCTGAGTTTCAGACCTGAGTTTCAGTCAGGTCCGAAAGCCCTTGCTGCAACGCAAACATTTCACTTCATTGTCTCCGGATCAACGTTCGTCCCGAATTTTCCTAACACAGAAGCTTTTTAATGTCTGATTTGATCGGTGATGATGCTTGGAAGAGGAGGGAAGGGGACTGAAGTCAAATCTATCTTTTCCGTAACAGAAAAAAGGACGAGCGGACTCGGGTAGCTCATGTTATAAAAATGGACAATTTATAAAGCACAATGGAGCAAATACTATGAAACATGTACTTTTAGTGCAAGTCAAAATCTAGGGGCTTTATTCAAAAAAATACTAGCCAGCTAAAGGAAACACAGTTCTGTGTGATCGTTAAAAAAAAATAAAAATAAAAAGCCCAAATTTAAGTCCCATCTAAATCAGAGTTGACATTATTACAGAACATTAAAAATATGGTAAAAATTTACACATTACACGCAAAGTAGTTAATGTTTTGATTTAATAGTTTGCAAAAAAAAAAGTCTGCAGATGTGTTTCCAATTACACTGGCTTCTACACTCATCTATTGTAATAATATAGGTATGGTTACATATATCGAAACTAAGAAAAACCTATGGCATAACTAGACAGCGAGAGTTCTAGGTCTGAAGTGTGATGAGTATGAATCCAAACATTGCAACATTTCACGGGTGGACTACACTGACAAAGAACCATTTACAATTGAAAGGCAGAAAAAAATCTTACAGACTTATTCTGACTGCAAGTTTCCTTTATTAACAGGCTTTTCAGCTTTGAACCTTACAAGAAGCTTCCTTAGGCCGTTGGTACATTGCATCGTTTCCAAGGTCTTTCTTTCTCTTAACACCCACTCGCTGGGCCATCTTAAGAACTCTTGTTGAGTTTTCATCCCACTCATCTGGCCTTTTTTCTTTTTTTTTTTTTTCCTGGCTCGGTTGAGTTCAAGTTCCTTAAACCATCCATGAGTTTTCTGGCAAAGGATTTGGTCTCCACTTTATACACCTGTTTTATTTTCCGAGGGCAATGAAATGTTCATTATATAGTAACACACAATAAATAACTCACTGTGCACTCTGAGAGTAAAAACGGGAGGGAGCCTATTGCATAGCAATACAGAAAAATCAAGTGAGGCTGGGGTTAGGGACGCATGTACAGCAACTCCACTGAACGGGATTTTCCTGTTTCTTTTTTTTTTCTTTCACATAATTAACACTAACAAATTCTTCCAGTGTTTATTTTTTTCTTAAAAAAAAAGGTTTTGCTTCTTGTCTCTCTCACTTACAGAGTAGGCGAAATGTAGAATAAAAGCCTTCGTATTTTTTTTCCTTTTGTTTCGAATGCCAGTTTTAACAAACAGAACACAAACTTCCAAAGTGTTTGAACTAGTACCGCTTTTTCAAATAATTTTTTTAACACTGATGGAACAAGGCTCTCTTATGTTTCTTGTCCTGAACATTGTTATTGTTGTCATATCATCATCATCATCATCATCATCATCGTGTGATTATCGTCTTGCCACTTTTTCAAGAATCTTAGCTGCATTTGCATGACTTTACGATCATATTAGAGAGCTGTTCAATCTTGGGTGTTTTGCCGATGTAGTAGAGAATGGTGAGCGGTTCTAAATCCTGGGACACACAGCAAGGAGAAGCGGATGCTTCCGGATTTATGGTATTATATAAGCTGAGAACCTGTAAGGACACCAGAGAGAAAAGACAACAAAAAAAGACAATTAATTTTTAAAGGATCACTCCCTATTCTTATCAGCTGTAGCCCTGAATGGGCCATTTAAATAACTTTTGGTTTACAATGCCCTTGTCTTAACTGCCATTCACGGTCAAAATGGTATGTGTCCCTAGTAATCGATGAATTCATCAGTTTCCTATAGAATCCCTTTTCCATACGTTGCAAATGAATGATTCTTTACAAGTCAGAATGGACAAAACTGCTCATTTGACAGATTTGACAGTTTTTCCAATAAGTCCTCACGTTGATCACTGCTTTGCTACATACACATTCCAGGCTTTCCAAACACATGGCTTTCTTAGTATTTGGGGTTGTCTCTGTACGTCTTTGTAACTACCGTTGTTTCCTGAATGTATATTCTGCCTTCCCATCCAGAGGAAATTTTCTGTGAGGTCAGGCACTTTTTAGACTTTGTTCTTACCTTGCAGTAATTGTTCGCTGGTCAAATAAGACTCATGAGTAAGGCAAAGAAATGAATACACGGATAAGTAGAAGAATACAACTTTTTGCTAATACCTCCATCAGAGTTTCAGTCTACCCTTAGGTATAGGAAAAAAAAAACCTGTCTGCAGTGTGAAATCTTTCTATTCTAACCATCTTCCCAGGTCAATTTAATGTCACCTAAATTTTCACGTAAAAGAGAAAAGGAGAAGGGTGGTAAGCACGCAATACAAGGTATAGGTAATGCACTATAGAATGATATACCTGCAACCTGTAGAATTTTATTACCCATGTCACTCACATGCATTCAGTAAATAAATAAATAGGGAAAAAAGCGTCTTCATGTATCATTGCTTCATCAAAAGCAATCTATATTTTAATTGTTCCCTTTCTTACACTGGGCTTCCAACAATAACAAAAACAAGAATCCGCCCTCCACTTAGCCCCGCCGGGGCCAGCCAGCCCTAAAACAGACGGAGGAGACAGTCCTGCCGTCCGACCCGAACCGTAAACCCCCTTCTTTCTCAAAGGCGAACGTGACTTTTACCGGGGGAAGTATGCAGGTCCCCCCGGCGATGACAGTCATTTCCAAGGATGCCATTAATGTGTTAGGCAAACAGCGAGTGACCTTTTCCTCGAGATTCACTGCGCTGTGTTCAGCCCGAGACAGAAGATCCGTTCAGCGCGGCAACACTGACTACTTTATGAAGCTACCTCTGGCTTCTCGGGGAGCTGTCCAAACCACATATTTGCACCCATGACAGTTATTCTTCCTCTCCCCTGGAAAACAAGCGCGGGCTCTGCCTTCACACACCCCCTCTGTGTATCTGGGAGGGGGAGTTGGGTTTCCACTTGGCAGCGGGACCTCGCCCACATGGCAGCTCCTGTGGCCACGGCCCAGAGGAAGCCGCCTGGCCGGAGAGCTCGGACAGAAGGACAGGCAGCAGCAGGCCACGCTCACGGGGCCAAGCACATGCTCGGCGGCCGCTGCCAACATCTACAGGGGACTTGGGAAAACAGCCGAAGGAAGGTGGGGGCGGGGGCGGTGCGTGGGGCGTATTTATCAACTTCACATCCAGCTTATGGAGGCATTTATAAATAAATAGACTTCATGTTCCGTGAACGCATGATTTTTTCATAGGCAATGAAAGAGGAATTTGGAAAATACGGATTGTCTGAAATAATTGATAACCCTGGAACTCTTTGAGCGCAGCCGAATGCGCTTTGTGATCTTGGCGGTAGATGCACTTTCCTACCCTGCGGTGAAGCCGATTTTTCTAATGCCTCTTTAATAAGGAGATTTGCAGCGGCGTGACTCCAGGGGCAGCCGCGCTGCACAGTGAAATTCAGTAAGGCACGGCATACCGGGGCCTGGTTATTAAACAAGGGGCCTGCCTTCCAAGCGTTGGTTTGTCACGGGCTGTCTGCTCTTGGGCAAGCCACCTAGACGCTACAGATTCCCCTCTCTCTGGAAAAGTGAGAGGCTTGGACAAGATAACTAGGTGGCCTTTTTCATCGTCACCCACCAGAGAGAAGCATTTGGACAAATACCGTTATCACGTAGGAAAGGCCCCTGCTAATCTGCGCTGGGAGCCCTGGCGCCCAGTCTCAGCCCGACCTTCTGAAGTGGCCTTGTGTCCTCACAGATCACCTCCGCGGTCTTCACGTGAACTCTCGAGTTTGGCATTACTGACTTTAAACATACTTTTGGGTGGAGACATTCCTTCTGACCAGAAAGAATTGAGGTTCGAAGAAGCGACACGACCTGCTAATTGTCAGAGGCTAGTGGTTCGCTTGGCCGAAGCATCTGCCGAAGCGTCAGCGTGCTTCCTTTCCATGGGACCACCCGGCACCGGGACCATCGGAATTCTTCTGGAAATACAGTTGACCCCTGAACAACACACGTGTGAACTGCATGCGTCCACTTAGATTCAATAGGTACACAGCCAGCCCTCAATATCTCGGATGTTTGCTTCTGCATATTCAACCAATCGCAGATGGGGAGGGCCGACAGGAGGAACTGCCCTGCTCCCTACCACATAAGGGACTTGAGGGTCTGCAGGTTTGGGTATCTGGGAAGGGTCCTGGAACAAATACCTTGTAGATACAGAGGGATGACTGGCATTAACTCTCGGAGGAGTCAAAAGTTATCCGTGGATTTTCAACTGCGTGTGTGTAGGGCGGTCAGTGCCCCTAATCCCTGCATCGTTCCAGGGTCAAATGCTATCGGCAGGTACACATTAGCCAGCCGAGAAGAGAAGAGACAAGTCAACCAAATGCTTACCCTACTGTGCTGAGTGTCCGAACTCCATAAATATGGGCATGCCCCGGCACAGAAGTTGGCATTGTACCCTTTAGGTTCATGGATCCATTTCCACCCAAGATCCCTCTTGAAATCAATGTAAAGTGGACGCAGGCAGCAATTATCCTGCACATTTCTGTTAAAAGAAGAGCAATGGGGATTTTAAAGCTTATTTTCCTTCTGCCCCTCACCCCAACCAGAAAAGTGACTCATCCATTTATTCAACAAATATCTGTAAGCAAATATCACAGGCCAGGTCTTAATGGTTTAACTGTCATCTAAGTGACCTTCATGATGGGGGGTTGGGGGGACTAGCTGGGGTGACTTTCCCTTTTTAATTCTACAGCATGACCCCTCTGAACGTGACTTTGAAAATCAAGCCTTTCCCATGATGGACTGGATAGAAGCAGAGGGTGGCTGATGGAGGCCAGCCTCTGTCCAACCCACACGGCACAGAGTGGCCATCCAGCCTCAAACATGAAACGATGAAGTGCAACAGTTATCTCAAAGCTCCATCTCAGGTATTTTCCTTTGAAAATAAATCCTTTGCTTCACGTCATGTTTCTTGATCTAGGAATGAACCAAAGATCAAGAACCATGGCATCTTGCTTAGTAGGAACACTGGCCCTGACCCCCCCCAAAACGCCATGTCCCTGTGAACTTGGACACTCTGTGCACCTAATCGGCGAGGACCCCTCGCGGCCCTACAGCTCTGGAAATCGAGAGAGAGCTCGCCTCTTAGCAGGCTTGATGAGAAGCCCTGGGAGCACACTCACACTCTCCCTCCACGGACTCACGTGGGAAAGGGGATAAGTCTGTGTCGCTCTCACTTCCCACATATCCTGCAGCTAAAGGCGTGACAGAGAGCGTTCTTCTTCCATCTCTCTCATCCCTGTTACTGCGAAAGTGCTGTGACCGCGGGCCCTGCGCCGTGAGGACCAAGGCTTCATGCAGGGGGCGAGTCCCCGAACCAGGCCCCCTTGCTCTGGGGAGCAGAGAGCGGATCTTCCTCTCCAGCCCCAAAGGGCTTGCTAAGGACTCGGGAGGTCGCAAGATGGTGAGTACAGCACGGAAATAACAACTACACTCAGCCTCTGGGAAGAGGGATGTCAGGAAACGTGGGGCCGCCCTGTTCTGTGCCTGGCCTTACGCAGTGCGTGCGGGTCACAGAACGGGCCAAGGCAGTGCAAGAGGTACCGGACGCAATCCCTTCGTGCTATTTTTGTTTTCTTTACCTAAAGCAATAGGCTGCATCCAAGGCGCGCTTCTTCCGCCGGTTGGACTGTTGTGACTCAAGTCTGTAGGAGGGTAACAACATTAGCAGGAGGTGTGGGGTCTTCCCACTGTTTTTTTTCCTAGTGGACTTTATAGTTTTCTGATCACCACTGGTATATGTGGAGGTGCCATCAATACCTTGAAAAAATGCATTTGGGTAATCAACATTTAGCTTTACCTTCATCAAATATTATCAGCCCTATTTTCTTGTCTGTTTGTTTGCTTCTATTGCCACAGAGAACAGTGATGACTGGCAACAGTCACTCCCCACAGAACCAGGTATGGGACAACAGGACGGCAGCGGGCGACAACGAGGACTTCTAAAGGGGGCTCTTGTCAGAAGGCCATTCAGGGTCTAAGACAGGGCTTGCTGGTTCTGAAAGTCACTACGGAAGAAGTCTTTGACCCCTAGTCCCGGGGCAATCTAGACAGGTGACCTGAGTCGACCCTCAGTGCAGGCTGTGTCCAAACCCTTCCGTGACGGGACACACAGCAGCCGGACCTGCCCGGTCACCCGTGGGCTCGCACTCTTCTTGGGACCACGGAACATGAAAGCCTTTCCTAATGGCTATAAACTAAGCCCGACACTGACGTGCAGTGAATTAGGTTCCAGGGAAACAGAAGTGGCCCTTCCCTAATACTATCTGGGGAGGCTGGGAAGAAAGGGCTTTTTCACTGAATTTATGACATCCTTAACACTTCCCTGATTCCATCTGAGAGGGGGAAACTCGAGCACCCCGAAGCCCTCGGAGGAGACTGCCAGTTTCAGCATTTAATCTCCTCCCGGAGGGAAGCCGGAGGAGGCTTGAGAGTGACATAAATCTCTCGACCCCCGGGAGGGGTTCTCCATGAGCTGAGGCCACGGCAGCCTTCTGCAAGCAGATGGTGTCACTTAGGGGAAGGGAATCAGCGGCCTGACCTGGCGGTGCTGCACCCGCAATGGCACCCACTTCCCTCTCAGCCCCTGGTCATCCAATAACTCATTATCTAACAGCCTTTGGCCCTGGCCGGGTGGCTCAGTTGTTTAGAGCATCGTCCAGTACACCAAAAGGTGGCGGGTTCGATTCCCAGTTGGCATGCACAGAGAAGGCAACCAACTGATGTCTCTCCCGCACATTGATGTTTCTCTCTCTCTCTCTCTCTCTCCCTCTCCCCCACCACCCCCTTCCTCTCTCTCTCTGAAATCTATAAAAAACATATCCTTGGGTGAGGAGTAAAAAATAAACCCCTTTAACATGCCACTGGATGCCTATGTACTGTGGGCATCTCCTCATTGTCCTTGACTTTGGCTACTTCACTAACAGGTGAGCAAGGGGCTGGAGGACACTACGACCTTGTTTATAAACTACAGTCCAAGCCTGATAAGGAAGGCAGTCAGAATCCTGGGCACCCACTAGTCAACGTGAAGTGGTCCCCCACACGGGAGTCAGCGGAAGGGGCTGTGGAGCGAGGGGCTTTCCCTCTTCTCTGGCATACAACTGTGGGGTCCTGACGCTGGTTTGGGGGACTTGCTTGAATGCCGAGCATAGATGGAAAGTTGGTTTGCTTAAATGAATATAGAGCTTAACTGTTGAACAGCGTGAGGGCTGGCCCGTCAGTCAGTCAGTATCACCAAGTCATCACTGGGCATCGAACAGCACAAACCAGGAAGCAATTCCTGTCTTCCAAACCTTTCTGCCTTCCCGTGTCTCTCTCCAACCATACCTCGGCCCAAGCCAGTGCAACTCCCAGGCCTCCCCGAGCAATCCCACTTTCGCATGCGAACTGACTTCATCCCCCGCGAGATTAACGACAACACAGGCCCTCCCCGCCACGCCTCAGACGGCTAGGTTTCACTTACCTGCAAATCTTGCTTCTAGTTCTTCGCTTTTATTGGGGATGATGTAATTGTTAGATGCTACAAAGGTGCAGCAGGGACAGTGTAAACTTATTTTAAACCCCAGGTTCCTGTCTGGAAAACAGGAAGATAAGGAGGTCATTTGCATGCACATCAGTGCCCTCAAACCTGCAGCCAACTTGCAATAACTGGGGGTCGCTAGGCATGTAGGGGGGTCAGCAGAGGGTGGGGGGGGTTACCTTTATGGTGGAGCCACTCGTGCACGGCATCGGTCACATCAAAGGAGAGCCATTCCCCTTCGGCTCTTGTTTTCACAACTTTGCTGTCGATGTAGCGCTGGTTTGGTGACGTCACATCCTTGGCTTTGAGAATCTAGAAGGGAGAAGAGGGAGGGACAGGACTCAGTGGGCATGAGGACAGCAGGACAACAACACCAGAGCTGGGCAGCACGGTCTCCCGGCTCTCTAAATTTAGCTCCGTGCCAGCATCTCCATGCGGCGTCCTCGCGAAAGCACGGCCATGAGCAGGAAAGCATCACGCCAGGCCGTTCGCCGTGAGAAACAGAGCTACTAAATCAGCTGTGTGTTAGGATAAAGGTGACAGGAACCATAAAGCCGAGTGTCTAAGAGAAAGTGACAGTAATTATTTTACTTTGCTGACATAAGCTGTGCAAGCCTTCAGCCATAAATTCTGCACTGCGCAGTTAATGGTTTTGTTATTCTGTTTCCTGACATTTCATTTGGGGAGCTGGGCTGTGGGGAGGGGTCTGGGTCAGAGGGCCCATGCTCCCCCTCCGCAGGCCCCTGGATTATAAATCGCCTGCTAATAAAGAGAGGAAGGTCCTGACCCTGGTTCCTAAATCCACTGGCATTAAAAAACGCGGCATGCCTCAGCTCTTGAGGTAAGTCTTGAGCTGGGGTTTTTACTCTCAGTGTGACTTGCCATGATTTATAGAGATATTCCATACCCCGCAGATTAAGCACGGATTTGGGCAGGAGAGGCCTGGCCCGGTGCGTGGTGCACGTCTGAGACCAAGTCAGCCTGAACACTAAGATTTAGAAGGATGCATTTAGTGCAAATAAATAAACAGCAAGTGTAGACATTCTTGAATTTCTGTAGGAAGTGAACATCGTTAAGGGTTAAAAAAAACTCTGTCTTTAAATGACAATGGGTCTGTTTCCTTTTTTTTTTTTTTTGGATGTATTAGGGGGACAAGTTACCAAAATTGCCTGGGTTTCAGGTGCACAATCTTACAACACCTCATCTGAACACTGTATTGTGTGTTCACCCCCCCCACCAAAGTCGTCAAGCATCCATCCATCACCATTTAACCCCCATCCCTCCCTCCACCCCCTTCCACCCCGTCCCTCCAGCAGTCACCATGCCGTGTTTTCAGAACCAGCCAAACCAGGACCCTAAGTCTCCCAGAGCGATATAGCCTCCCTACCCAGAGCCTCGGCCTGCCTTTCCTCAGGGTTTAGCGGGGCTTGAGCCCTATGCTGCTTTCTACCGCCGCCCTCCCGACATCGAGTCTGACTCCTCCGTGGTCCTTTCAGACAGATGGCTCCAGTCTCTCCAACAGGTTCCTAAGCTTCCTCGGGGAACGTGACTTCAATGCGATGTCATTTCAAAGCACAGCGCTTGATTTAATTGAATGGCTATCTGAATGTCTAGAAGATTTATTGACTCTCCTTTAAACTTTGTAAAACAAACACGAATAATCTTCCTGTGGATTTTAAAATATACTTCTCTTCTGTGTGTATATATGATTTGTCTCAGGTCATTTGGCAACAAATGCATCCTAGAATATTTAGCATTATGGTAGAGTAAGGTTTTTTTTTTTTTCTGGATTAAGCAAGTTTACAGAAGGAAAGAGATTCATACAATTGAACTCGGAGGTGCTGGCGTGAATTTTAGACAAACCCGACTAGCAGAACTTGAGGTCTGCAAGTCCAGCAAATTCTGAGGTCCAGCAAATCCCACTAAGTGGGGGGAATCTAATCAGGGCTCCTCCAATAGGCAAGAGAGGTTCTTTGTGAATTAAAGAAGCAAATACACATGACTTGAGGGCTGGGCAACGCTGAGGTCTGGCCTTAGTGCACGTTACTTTAACATAATTCTCAAAACACTGCTGTGAGGTCGATTAGGAAAAGCGAACTCCGGGAGGTTAGGTCGCTCTCCCCACGTCTCCCAGTGCACAAGGGTAGAGAGAGCCCGGAGCAACGCTACCGTTCCCCACTGCAGAGCTGGAGTTCGAAGGCCGTAGGGTGGTGGGGGTTGGGGTTGGAGCACGAGTCCCCCGTGCCCTCTTCCGGGGGACAGAGAACGTGAGATGACCGAGGCAAAGATGTTTAATGAGATTATAATCACTGTTGGCACACAATGAAAACATGAATTGTGGCACGCACGCAAAGTTAATGCCGATAACTTTAAAAACCAAGCCACACAGCTGCCGATCCACTGAAAACCAGACTTTGCCTTGAAAACGCTCCCGGTTGGGCAAATGAGATTCCACCTAGCGAGCTCTGAATAAATGGTATACTTAACCTAATCTAGGATAACAATGAGAAAACAATGGTGGAGAAGTTTCCACGTACTTTCATCTGCCTCATTGCCTAAAAACAACTAATATACCCAGAACTCATTTTTTCTGTCTTAAAATTTCCCCCCTAGCTGGCCTCCTATAATGATGCATTATTTTATAATGTTTTGTGTATCTTCTTTGCTCCTAATTAGCATAGTGTGTATCTTAGTCACGTTCATACCCTTAACATTTAGACATACTGTCTAGAACAAAACATTGCTCTCGTTGTTGAATTAATTACATATAATATATATTAATATATCTATGATGCACTTGTATAAACATAAATATAATACATATAAATATATGTAGTCTCAGAATTTTAAAAATAAATCATGACCATATCAACCAAATAGGCAGGAAACACACTGGAAAATCTATGGAAATTCTTCACCTCACAGTGAAGAAATAAATCTGGATGATCTTGCTTGAAAAGTGAACCAAAGAAGAGCAAAAATATTCTGAAACATTTTTCTTTGTAAAATCTCATTAGAAGGGAAGCGCTTCTTAGCCACAGAACAAACACGGGTAGGTTCTGACAATGAACAACTTGGTACTGTCATGTGGGCAAAAGGCCCTCTATGTCTTCTTACTAGTTCAAGACCAGGCCAATTTAAACCACCCAAGAAAGGCAGCCAGCCAGCGACATGATTCTGGAACGTGGAAGTGACTTGCCGTCTCAAGCTTTCTGGCCAAGGAGTTCTTAAACGCACTTGTTGCAGCTTAACTCCCTTCTCCCTGGTCCGGTCCTCCATGCGGCAGGAGACAGCTGCTCTCCGTCACTCAGAGAATATCCCTGCTGTTCCTGGAGGCTGTTACTAAGTCCCCTCAGCATGCTCCAGTACTCTCTCTCTCTCTCTCTCTCTCTCTCTCTCTCTCTGTAAGCTAAATAAACCCAGTTCCTGAAGCTGATACTTACAGGGTCAGTGTCCCAAACCTTTCATCACATGGTCTCTAACAAGGATGAAGGATGCTATATAAAAGCACACCTCCCCCAGCTTCGTGATTTCGCTTCAGAACTGGCTAGAAAACCTTCCAATCACGTCTCAAAGTCTCCAGCCTTGACTTCAAAGGTCTCTTCTTTCTAAGAACAGGCACAACCTCCTTACTCCCTGTTTACCTGCTGCATACCACCCGCGCTAAGGGACACTGGAAGGGAAGAAAACCAGCCCACTGCTCTTACCCGTCAGCCCTTTCTTCAGCTCAAGAATGTATACAGAAATGGCCAGATCAGTCAGCTGCCCATTCGATTTTAGCCTTGCTGTCTCTGCCTTTCCCTAATCTCCCAACGAGTGTGTTGGGTGTTAACAGTCGTGAATATACAGATGTTTTCTGTACAACCACAGGTGTTTCTGAATTTCTTTATACGTCTTTACATGGCAAAGAAAATTCAGTTGAATAGTAGAAACTCTCCTAACAACTGGCCTGGTTAACCAGGACGGGGCATTTGTCCTGCGATGTGCATTAGTGGATGCCTCCTGAATGCTAGGCCTTGTTGCTAGAAAGCTCCTGTCTAATAACTCCCGGGCAAGTCTGGCCTCCTCTGTTGAGTTGTGCACTGAGTGGGTAGCGACCGTATGTGTTTCTAAACCTGTTTATGATAGCTGGACTTGATATTGTAATTATACGAGTTAATGGAACGGTCTAGACACTGATGAAATACAGGACCAAAGTAAAGAGAGCTTTTGCTTTTTTTTTTTTTTTACTCCAGTGGAGTGCCTTAGAAAATCTTCATAAAGATAATTTGCTTCAATTTTTTTTGTAAAAGTTTGGTGATTCCTCAAAAAAAAAGTAAATGTAGAATCACCATATAATCCAGCAGTTCCGCTCGCAGGCGGACACCCACAAGCACTGAAAGCAGGCGCTTGGGCAGAGACTTGTGCACCGATGCCCACGGCAGTGTCACCTGCAGTAGCTGGAAGGCGGAAGCGACCTAAGTGTCCATCCATAGACATACACATACTAGAACTTTATTCGGCCATAACAAGGAATGAAATGCTGATCCACGTGGCAACATGGATGCACCTTGAAACCATTGTGCTAAAGGAAATAAGGCAGGCACAAAAGGACACATGTTATATGGCTTCACTTCTCTGAGGCACCTAGAACAGGCGAATTCATGGAGATAGAAAACAAAACAGAGGTTCCCAGGGGCTGTCAATTAAATGTTTCTAGAATTCTTGGCTGTAATTGATATTTTTCTTTACATAACAGAACAACAGCCATTCCTTAGGGAACAAAAAAGAGAGCTTCTAATGCATTGCAAATGAGATTTAGCTGTCTATCATGTAGCTACCACCCACAGTGATGTTGGAATGTTACCTTCACTATGTTATCTATATTATATTCAAATTATCCACGTATCACCTTTGGCAAGCCTCTGAGCTCTCCACTGAATTACAAAACTCCCTACATGAAAGCATCCATTCATCTCTCTGCCACTGGAAAGCAGCCAATCAGGGAGTGGAGAGAGGCAAAAGTCACTGGTGTTATCCAATAGTTCGGGGCAATAAATAAATAAAAGAAATAATAGCCCAGATGCAAAATTGCAGCTAGAGGAAATCTTCGTCTTAAAGGCATAATGACGTAAATTAACTCAGGATTTGGCTTAGACGCGAAGAACAGCTCTCCCACTCCCATGAGGCATTGCGAAGAGCTGTAAGGAAGCCTTGGGAGCTCTATTTTACTTTGCACGCTCAGGCATCAACAGACCTACAGGAGAGCCCAGAAGCCAAAGCAACCGGACTTCTACTGGAAAGGGAAACTTCGCCACGGGGCAGCAGAGAAA